TAGTGTGAATAAAAATCTGTTCCAACCCCTGGGATGGAACCTGGCATTTGCCCTCTGTGAGCTTAGCCATTGGTGGAACAGATGAGTGGGTTTGCCAGAGCGATCCGGTTGACTGCTTTATCACCTCATTCATAGGAAGAGCTACTTTCCCTGCAGTAGCCGGGTGCAATATGTCTGTACGCTTATGCAGATTCTCCTCCATCATCTCCATCTAAATTCCAAGATCTACAGCCATTCTTTTCAGGATCTCTTGGTAGCTTTAAAAGTCATCTGGAGGATGGAGGAAGCTTCCAGTACCATAATCTCATCCAGTGACAAGGATAATGTAATCAGAGGAGGCAAGGCAGAACCCTCACGAGGCTGATCTTGCACCACTGAGGTAGACAGCTGGTCCAAGGAAGGGTCCAGAAATTTGGTATCCAGAAGCTGTTTGGTACCAAGTACTAGCAGTCTCTCAATACGGGGTAGGGAAGCCTTCCTTCTCATGATCTGCTTCTATGACGAAGAGGAGATGTCCATCTCGATGCTAGAGGCATCCCCACAGGCACCCAATAGGGCCAATGAGGGAACTGATACGGCATCAGAAGACAATTGTGCCTAGACCAAGCCTACCAATCCTTCAGTCTGCTCATGTCAGAATACCTTCTGTGAAAGTGGGAATGGGTTCTGGAGGAAACCCTGGACTCTCTGAAGTAGGAGACATGGACCCACTTTGGACTCCAACAGGGAGTAACAGTACTCCTAAGGCCAAGATGGTGCGGTACCAGGCGACATCCTCGGATACTGGGATTGGGATCTATGTTAAGACTGTAATACCAGGGGTAGCATCAGAGGCTTCCCAGCTATTGGTACTGTGTGTTGAGGTAAAGCAGGTACTAGGAGCCTAGACACTGTCAATGAAAAAATCATTGAGGATGGTACCAGTCTTGAGACTGGTGAGGCTGTAACAGACTCCAACATCGGTACCGAAGACTGCGCAAATTGTGACAGTTCTGGCAGAGGACCTTTGCCTTGAATCAGCAGTGAGAGTGGTACCAAAAGGCACAGCAAATCCTTCACGGCCACACAGATCTCTGGTATTGTCAGCACTGAAATGGATGGTAGTCATTGCTGCTTACAGTGGGACAATCTACTGTCATCACCAATGAAACAGCCAGTCTTGACAGACCAGGGCAGGTCAATCCTGTGAGAGCCACAGTGGGCCAGTACTGGAGAGCGGTGAGCCTAGGGACATGCTCTACCTTCAGTAATGGAGTGGCCTTCCACTGCTGAGGAGTCCCCACACTGAGGACTTCGAAGAAGTTGATGCCATCTTCTTCTTAAGCTTCAGACAGGAGTGGTCCAAGCTCTTATGCTTTCTAGAGGACAGCCCCAGCGGAGGGGATCTCCTATAATTTCTGTCTGTTGGCAAGGCTGGGGGAGCATGACTAGAATGAGTGGTTAAAGAGCTCCCATGAGCCAAGTGAGTGGTTCTGATGCTGGGCAAAGAGCACCCTCTATGAGACTGTATCTAAAAGATTAGATCTCTCTCTGCTTCTTTGTTCTGTATTTGAAGCAGTGGCAGATCAGACACCTGTAGTACTCAAGTAACCTCACCCAAGTATTTTGAACAATGAGAGTTCAGGTCACTAACGGGCATTGCCTTATGACAGGGAGAGCAGGGCTTTTTACCAGAACACCTTGGCACAAGCTTTTCAAGTACCTGATGAGGCCCAGAAAGACTCACATAAAGAAAGTAAAATAAGGTTTAAAAACAAGAATAAAAGGAATAAAGAAAGAAAACCACCAAGAGAGGCAATAGCAAGTATCCCTAGTAAAAGTTAACTATAAAAAATATTGTTCACAGAGGAATGTTTTTTTTACTGTAAAGCACTGAAATTCTCTGGCCACTGATCACGGATGGTAAGAAAGAACTGAAGAATAGGCAGGATGGCCCTTTATACCAGGGGTGGCCAAACTTACTGACCCTCCAGATTGCATATGACAGAAGTTTGAGAGCTGGGGCAGGCATGCCGGGGCTTGGGGTTTCAGCCCCACAGGAGGCACCTGACAGGGCTCTGGGCTTCAGCCCTGCGTGGAAAGGGATCTCGGGACTTCAGCTCTGCAGGAGGCGCCTGCCGGGGCTCAGGGCTTCAGCCCTGCACGGATGGGATCTTGGGATTTCAGGCTCACAGGAGGCACCTGCCAGGGCTTGGGGCTTCAGCCCTGTGAATAGTGCCTGCCTGGGCTCAGGGCTTCAGCCCCGTTCCTGCTGAAGCACCGAGCCCCAGAAGGCATGCCCTACAGTCCTGAAGCCCTGAGACCTCCCTCCCTGCTGGGAGGAAGACAGAGGCGACATGGGGGGGAGGGACACACACCTGGGTCACGTGCCTTCTGAGAGTTTTGCCAGGGTTTGATTGCCCCACTCCGTCACAAGGTGCTGCTGGGTCCCCTCCTCCCTGCATGGCAGTTGCTGAAGCCAGCAAGCTGGGAGCTGCGGCCAAGGGGAGAGGCAGCGGCAAACAGCTGGGAGCTGCAGGGAAAGCCACGGCTTTTGCTGCTACCTCTCCTTATGGAGCTAAAGCAGTGGCTCCCCCCTGCAGCTCCCAGCTGTTTGCCACTGGCTCTCCACATGCAGCTAACATCCGGGAGCTGCAGGGAGGGGTCAGTGAGGCTAAGACCGGGGGTATCCTGACAGGGCATGGCTCAAGCTGTTGGAGGGGAGGGGGATAATCTTTAAATTGTGCCCTCCCCTCCCCCCAGCAGGCACCTGTCGTCTCTAGCAGAAGCCCCTAGCTCCACCACCCCACCGCAGGGCACAAACCCTGGGCTCCCCACACTCCACGAGCTGCACTTTAACAGTACAAATGCCACAACTACACAGCCACGTTAATGCACTGCTGCGGCAGCGCTTTAACGTTGCTAGTGAAGACATACCCCAGTGTGATCAAACAGAAGTTTACTTTTCTTGCTCGTTTGGTATATCTTATGGGAGATAACCTCCAGTTTTGGGGTATATCTGCCTTATTTCTCAGCAGTTTGTCCTGAATTTGGTATTCTCAGTTATGTCCCACAAAGGCACGGTTACACTTGTGAAAAATTCACAGGTAGATGGATTTATGACGATTTGAAAGTATTAGACAATATTTAAAATATGACATTTAGAAGGTGATTAATTTCAGGTATAATCAATTTTGTCCAAGATTCTTCATCAATAAATTTTTTAAGTGACCTGTTAAGACGCTTGAATTTCAGCCAGGAAAAAAAAAAAAAAAAAAAAAAGATTTATTCTTCTGACATTAATGAGTTAGTAAATTTGGCCTTATACAAGTAAATATTTTTCTTTTTAAATAACATCTGATTGCCAAAACAAAATATTTGAGAGAGAAACATAACAGAAACATCATTTGAGGAAATACAAAAATCAATATCTTTTAACAACGCTTTAGAGTCAACATTTATACGACATGGAAATACAACACTGAAAATATTTGTTGCGATTTCTCACAATCAAATCTTATCTGTTACAAGTCCAAACCACATGTATTTCTATTTTCTCAAAAAACAGCTTTCTTTCTGATCTATTATTTCACACATCGTGTTATTAAACAGAAGATCAAGAACTTAATCTTCCTAAAATGAACCTATTACAATAACAAATAAATGTAATACATTCCTCTAATCATGGACTTCAAATGTCATTTCCTGAACCATTACAAAAACTCCATCTGTGAGTTTAGCAATCAGTTAGACCTCTGAGTCATCTTGAAGACACTGGTGATTCATTAATATGCTGACAATAAAAGACTGTTGTTCTTCAAGATGTGTTGCTCTGACTTGCGCGCCGGCTGTGCCGGGGACAGCTTATCCGATGCGGCTTGGGAGGAACAGTGGGAGTACGGAACTGGTACAACAGGTACACCCCAGGGGTTCCAGTACTGCCACTGAACAGGCCATTGCCCCTACCTTCACACCGCTGCCACAGGAGCCACGCTGGTCTCTTGGGCCGGTGGCGATTTGCTTTTTATAGGTGAGGGGCTGAACTCCCCTTAGGCTTGGACCTCGGCCCTTCTGGTGACCAGGGCAGAGCCATCGATGCCATAGTGCCTGCCCGAGGAGTGGTACTGGGGAGCCGGAGACCGGTGCAGCGACCAGGAACGATTCCACACCAGGGGTAATCGATGCCTAGAGAAATTCCGCAGAGTATGCAAAGGTATTTTTACATAAATTTTGTGGATTAATTCTCAAACATGAACAGCATGAAGAGCTGTGCCTTGTGGCAGAACTTGTTCAGAGCCCTATGAATGTAACCAAGGAAGAAGTTTACAGACCTTTGCTCAATTTACAAGTAAAGTAGAGATAAATGTCAGTGAGTAGATGCCAGAATTTGGTATTAACACTAATACAAATCAGCTGAGAGGATAGGATGAATAGTTTGTCGCAGGCCAACTGGACAAACTACAGAGTTTTGCAGTCCAAGGGACCATCTGAATTAAAGTTTTAAAAACACAAGCTATGAGAGCAGAAAAAGCTTAAATCAGTTTTCAAATGTTTTGATGAGGGGATAGCTGGAGAAAGAAGAAACATTTTAAATGTGCAGGGACTTATTTCTTCTGATGAGAGAATCCATGACAGCTACAATTAAATTAGGTTGATGTTTAGTCTTCCCTTTAAAAATGAAGCAGGCCTTGTAGCAGCTACTGATTTAGAACTCTAAAATCTTTCACTGAAATCACTCATGCACAGAATTTCTGGGCTCCTACTCAAAAAACCAATTTATGGAGTCCCCATTCTACCTCTGAAAATTGTATCAGAGTATTTGTTTAGTATCAGACAGCAGAAAATGAGGCCTCATTTGTATATGTATAATAGTTCAACGGGGAAAAAATGTTATAAAAATAAATTATTCAAATTAGAGAACTGGATAATAAGATTCATTTTCACATGTAAAACTTTTAAATACATTTACAGTAGCAGAAATATACTGATTTCTTAATTTCTTTCTCATTCTCCATACTTACCAACTCTGAACTAGCCCAACTGAAGGCCTGTTTAGCAAGTTATCAGGCAGCAAATTGACTTCTCTCATGGTATTAGCTAGCCGCACAGGAAGTTCTTTCCGTAGGAACATGTATGATGTTTTCTCACATGCATTATCACGTCCTGTTAGAAAAAATAAAGAATTCTATTGCAATAGACTATGGTTTAGAATTTGCAGCTCTAGAATGAAATAAATGTTACTGTTAGAAAACAAAGACCAATTAAAGTACCCTTAAGTCTGGTCCCCCTTTGATCCCTCCAGTTCCCTTCTCACTCTTCAGGACACCACATTTATCTTTACCTCTCTAGCTCCTTCCCCATGTCCATCTGTCAGTACCTCTTTCAAACCCCTTTCCTTCATTTCATATCTTCAGGTTGCACCTGCCTTAAAAGGTTCTGTTCCCAATTCATTCTTCCAAGCTCTACCCAATCGCTGTTTGTCTCTAGTGCTCAAAACCACTACCCCAGCCACACTCACATGACAGAAAAAAAAACTTACTACAAAAGAAAAATAATTTACAGTAATTTTCTCCAATATCAGGAGGCTTTTTTCCTATTGCTTTTGTTGTAGAAGCAATTCCATAATAATTGTACTTCTACAATGCTCTTTTCTACAATACTAGCACTTCTGTTCTAGAAAAGCTACTAATATTGTAGAATCATTTTTGATACAAGGATTACTTAGATTCACTTTTAAAATGAGTATTAAATAAACTTGCCTATGCAAGATAAAATACCTACTAACTCTTTTCAGCACTATTACTACTTCATCAAGAGTTATAATCCCACATTTGGGACTGTGGAGACTCTGTAAACAAAACTACTCAAGATAGTTAAGTCCCAGGCAGACTGCCAAGAGCTACAAAAGGATCTTTCAAAACTGGGTGACTGGGCAACAAAATGGCAGAAGAAACTCGGTGTTGATAAATTCAAAGTAATGCACATTGGAAAACATAATCCCAGCTATACATATAAAATGATGGGGTCTAAATTAGCTGTTACCACTCAAGAAAGAGATCTTGGGAGTCATTGTGGATAGTTCTCTGAAAACATCCACGCAATGTGCAGTGGCAGTCAAAAATGCGAACAGAATGCTGGGAATCATTAAGAAAGGGATAGATAATAAGACAGAAAATATTATATTGTCTCTATATAAATCCATGGTACGTCCACATCTTGAATACTGTGTGTAGATGTGGTCACCGCATCTCAAAAAAGATATATTGGAATTGGAAAAAGTTCAGAAAAGGGCAACAAAAATGATTAGGGGTATGGAACGGCTTCCGTATGAAGAGAGATTAATAAGACTTGGACTTTTCAGCTTGGAAAAGAGACGACTAAAGGGGGATATGATTGAGGTCTGTAAAATCATGACTGGTGTGGAGAAAGTAAATAAGGACGTGCTATTTACTCCTCATAACACAAGAACTAGGGATCACCAAATGAAATTAATAGGCAGCAGGTTTAAAAACAAACAAAAAGGAAGTATTTCTTCACACAATGGGACTGTCCCTATAAAATCGGGACATCTGGTCACCCTAATTCTCTTCATTTCTAAGGTGAATTTTTAAAACTGTCATACTTAAAGACATTGCTTTGGAAACTATTTATATTCTGTGCTTCCAAAGTCAAAGTTTAGTTAACATTGCTATAAAAATTGCCTTTTGCATTCTAATAGCATTACTAAATAGGGAAAGCAAAATAAAATTAGGCCCTGGTCCACCAAAAAAGTTGACTCTGTAGCTACTGGCCTACAAAATCTTTGTGCCATAGCTGGAGAAACCTATGAGCAAATTATTTCTGAATGGCAGCATTCTGTGCATCCTTTCCCCCATACTTACAATGGCAGTTGTGAACAGCCAGACTGTCATACCAGTATATGGCAACTTGGCTTCTGAGAGGGCTTTTCCAAGAATATTCAGCAGCCATCCAAAGAGGAGGCATAGTCAACATAGCCTGTTAACTTCTAAAGAGGTTGGAAAGGGGAGTGAGCTAACATGTTCTTTCTAGCTGTCATTTCTGTTCATCTAGTCAACTATAAAAGAGCAAGAAGAGGACAACAGGGCTCAAGTATTTAAGGGGAGAAGAAAAAAAAAAAAAGATTCTCCAGTAGTCAGGTGAAACCAACAAGTCTTGCCAAGAAACTTTCAATCCTCGCCCCCAAACATATCTCTCCTACGAATGGATTTTGTTGGGCATGGGGAGCAAGCAATTGTGAAGAGGACTGACTGAAAAAGAGAGACTGGCACAGCTAATTCATTTCAGGAGCAAGACATTTTCCAAGAATTGGATAATGTTATTCTGCCATTTTGCTAGAGTTAACTAAAGTTAATTTACCACTTCCTTAGTGATTACAAGTAAGAATAGGGTGTGATGGGGTGTCCACCCCACTCGAGGCCTAAAGGTGTAAATTATGCCAATTAACCTTAGGCTGCACCTGGAGGAAACCTAGGGAGTGCTATGGCCTAATTGCAGATGAAGTCCAACTGGAGAGAGGATCTGGGCAGGGTCTATAAAGAGAGGAAGTTGGCAGGCTGCAGGAGGAAACCTGCAGTTGCACTCCCTGATACAAGGGGGAAAGAGCAAGAAGCTGCAAGGACAGAGTAGGAAGCAGTTCAGGGAAGGAGTAGTAAGGACTAGGAGAGTAAAAGTCCAGAGCTGCTGGATTGAGGGTCCCTGGACAGGAACCTGGTGTAAAGGGTGGGCCCCGGTTCCCCTACCAGGAGAAGCACAGACTAGGCAGTGGGGAAAGAAGCACTGGGGGAGAAGCACAGACCAGGCAGTGGGGAAAGAAGCACTGGGGGAGAAGCACAGACCAGGCAGTGGGGAGAGGACCGCCTGGGACAGTTTGCCTGCAATACCCTGGAAGGGGGAAGAATTTAAAGGGGACTTGGCCCAAGGGCTAAGCTATGAAGAGGACAATGCTGCGGGTATGTCTACACTGGAAACTCGCTTTGAAGTGCGAGTGTGGTAGCGCACGAGCGCTGGGAGAGAGCTTTCCCAGCGTTCCTGGTAATCCACCTCCACAAGGGGATTAGCTCCTAGCGCCGGGAGATAAAATGTTTTTATATTTTTCTGCAGTTTTGGTGGGGGTTAGTCTTTTTAAACCATTTGGTGAAAGTGACACACCTTCACAAAATATTTTGGTCAAACAAATCTACATTTTTTGCTGCAAAAATTTATCAAAATGTCACCCCACTTTACTACTTATCTTTCACTAAAATTCAGCTTGTGCCTTTTCAGCTGTATTCTCTAAGGCAGTGGTGGGCAACTTGTGGTCCGTGGGCCGCATGCGGCCCATCAGGGTAATCCGCTGACGGGCTGCAAGATGGTTTGTTTACATTGACCATCTGCAGGCACAGCCGCCCATAGCTCCCAGTGGCCGTGGTTTGCCGTTCCCAGCCAAAGGGAGCTGCGGGAAGCGGCGGCCAGCATGTCCCTGCAGGCCGCTCCGCTTCCCACAGCTCCCATTGGCCAGGCACAGCAAACGGCCAGTGGGAGCTGCGGGCGGCCGTGCCTGTGGACGGTCAATGTAAACAAACCGTCACGCGGGCAGCCAGCGGATTACCCTGACAGGCTGTGTCTGGTCCACAGGCCACAGGTTGCCCACCACTGCTCTAAGGCCATGTCTACTCTACCACTTTTGTCCATAGGCGCGGACTCCGTGGGAAAACCATGGAAAAAAATTAGTGGGTGCTTTGCACCCACCGGCAGCCAAACTCCCCTCACCTCCCGCCCCACCTCCTTCCCCCTCCCCCCCCCGAGAGCCCCACGTCCCCGCTCCTCCACTTACCTACCTCCCAGCGCTTCCCGCCGCCAAATAGCTGTTTGGTGGTGCTTAGGACTTTCCAGGAGGGAGGGGGGAGGAGTGGGGATGTGGCGCGCTCAGGGGAGGAGGCAGAGAAGAGGCAGGGCAGAGGCGGGGTCAAGCACCCACCGGGAACAGTGGAAGTCGGCGCCTATGCTTTTGTCGATAAAACTTATGTCGCTCAGGGGTGTGGGGAAAAAAAAAAAAAACCCCACCCCTGAGTGATGTAAGTTACATGGACAGAAACGCGGATGTGGACAGTGCTATGTCAGCGGGAGAGCTACCACTCATGGAGGCAGTTTTATTATGCCGACGGGAGAGTTCTCTCCTGTCAGCATGGAGAGGCTACATGAGCGATCTTACAGCAGCCCAGCTGCATCAGTACAGCTGTACCACTGTAAGCTTTCTAGCGCAAACATGGCCTAAGGAAATTGAAATTTCCTTTGAGTTTCCACTTTAATCTTAAAATGTATCATTTTACTAGATTCCCATTGTGTGAATAAACAAAAGCATTCATTGGAGACATCTGTGTCAAAATATATACACAGGTATTTGAAAGCATTGGCGATGCTTACGGACACTATCCTTCACTGCAGAGCTTAGTTGAGTGATTAGGTCTTTGACTCAGTGACTATGCCTATTTTCAGATTTCCCACCCTTCCCCAGGAGTAGAAAATTCTATGGCAATATCCAAACAGACTAGGTAGGCTCAGAGACCTGTGTTTTACTTGTCATGGGCTATAAGTATTTCACTATAGGCAAAAGAGAAATTGAAAGTGTCTTTTGTGACTATGACCAACACAACTGCCTCAAAAATGAACAAAAAATACAAGGTACTGATTAAGATACGTTCAGGCAGCCCAAGAAAGGTTAAAAGCATTGCTATGCATATAATAACTAAGATTTGCAATTTGAAAACCCCTCAAGCACATTGCAACTGGCACAATCAAGGTCACACTTTAAGGCAGTCCCATTATAATCAGTTGAACAGCACAGCATTCAACATCTGTTCACAGATAATGTACATTGGTAAGACAGCGCCCAATCAGGTTTAAAACAAGCATTTGAAGCTTTTTTGGTGTGCTCATTTAAGGCATGTCAATCAATGGACTGTTATGTTCTATTGGCATCAGTAATTATTGTTTTAAGGCTCAATCCTGCAAATACTTAATATTATTTTACTCACATGCGTTTCTTGCAGGATGTGCCCCTTCAGTTACACATAAGTAAATATTGAAAATGTTGTATTAGTCAGCAACTGCTAGACACCGAAGGAACTAATTATGAAACTGTATAGTTGCTTTCAATAAAACGC